ATTAGTTATCTGATGCTCACAAACATAAATGTCACAGCATCTTGTGCTCATCCTTCGTCCTCTTCGTTGGGTCTTGGTGAGAAACCTCACTCTGGATGTAACTAAAGCTGAATCACTCTCTCACAAAGAGAACAATAAGAACAGCTGTAAAATATTAAAAGGGACCTCTTTTATTTTTAGTCAATAAGACAAAAGAAATCTAGCTCATGATGCTTGGCACAGTATTAGGATTGTACACTAGTATTGCCCTTTACAAATACAAATACATGCAGATCTAAAAGCAATACCAGACATTGATGATTGGGTGAAAAGTTTCATTCAGAACGTTGTTCCTGTGGATGTCAACAAGAATTCTCTCAGAGACATCAACAAAACCATTTCTGTCACAAGACCCAAAACCATGTCATGGGGCCGTCAGTGTATTGCTGTTTAATGGGCCTGCTAAGACCAGAGATCATAACAGTTGTTTTGGTTTCGTGCACCCTGCCAGAGGTGGGCGGGGCTTGTTCTTTTCAGAACAGATTGTGCGTCAGGATACTATCCTGCTGACAATGACACGTGTTTACGTGATCTTCTCTGGCATTAGTGACGTGTGTGACTACGGTAAGAGTACGCGTGCTGCGCGGTGGGACTCATGAGATTTTCTGTGATGTATGCCACCAGCAAACAAATGATAACCAGCATCACGCATATAGCCCCTCCCACCGTTGTCATGGCGATCACAATGTCCTGCATCCCGGACGGCGGCAGCGTGAACTCCACGCAGTCTCGCGGCTCTCCCTGATCCGGGTCGGACCGGGCCGGTGAGGAGCGCAGACAGATTCGGTATGGGATGTTCTCGTGCAGGTCGGACAGGAGGAAGTCCCTGCAGCCAGATCCAAGATGGACACTCGCGCACTCGAACTGGGTGTAGCTCCCGTTCCACCAGCAACTCAGCTCATAGCCTGCACGCCGGTGGCGCCGTTCACCGAAAACAGCGTGCAGTCGTGTCGCGTTTGTCCCGTTAAGATTCTTTTTGTCCCGGTTCTTGTCCCCCCCGTGGCTCCACTGTAACAGTACGCTGCCGTTGATGAGGATGTTCGCCACCAGACTCCCCAAAGACACTTGTGACCTGCAGTCCTCCTTGAGACACTTGTACCCAAACAGCGTCTGTCGAAAACAAAGCTGTCCCCAAATCCCCCCCTCAATCACCCTGTAGGCACACACCGGTGACACCCCTTCATCTGGACCCGGTCCAGATCTCTCTGACGTGAGAGAAGAATTAATCACGTGACCTGCGTTCTCCTGAATCTTCGCTGATGCAGCGAGTTGATGCTGGTTGACAGTTTTCCTGGATGGGGACGAGGATGATGAGCTGCTGCCTGTCTGGTGTACTGATGTGCACCAGAGCAGGAGTACCGACAGGGCGAGCAGCGATGTGCGGTGCTGCTCGGTCATCTCTGGTCGGATTATTTTCACTCACAGTGGATCAGATGGGCGATGGCACACCGAGACAGGCTGATGTCCGCCATGAGATCAGCTCTTCTTGTGGCCTTGAAACAATTCACAGACAGCGTTTAAGGCAGAGATGTTGCAGAGGATAAAAAAAAACTGCAGGATTAAATTAACAACCTGGGCGCGCGCTCGCATCTCACTGGCATATTTAATCACTCACCTATTTCTGTAGGACAGAGATCCCAACTATCCATCCATCAGATGTGCTTTCTTCTTCCTGTCTGCCCTGACGTAAAAAAGCTTTGATGTGCTCTATGAGTGTGCACGTGGGAGAGCGCGCGCAGTGCATGGGAGCGTGGGGAGCGCGCACAAAATATTTGTAGTCATCAGCAGTCAGTGAGTCATCGACCCACTCAGGGCTACAGGTGTCAGCCAGTAGGGAACACAAGGTGGTTATGAACAACCACAGTTTGGAGAAACAATTCTGACTAGATTGATATCAGCTCTAAACAAGAAGGACAAACTTGGATTGAAATGTCAGTCTCAAAATCTTCATAACAGTGTATTAAACTGGTCAGGTTCTCCCACATAGGGAGCCATAGCTGTGCCCACTTCCAGACCATGGGTCCCTGGAAAAACGGAAAAAGGAATGCAAGTCAAAGGGCTTCGTTTGTCATGTGCCATGGATTTCAGTACAGGTGTGTATCTCCATCAGTCAGCAGTACAGGTGTGTATCTCCATCAGTCATCAGTACAGGTGTGTGTCTTCATCAGTCATCAGTACAGGTATGTATCTTCATCAGTCAACAGTACAGGTGTGTATTTCCATCAGTCATCAGTATGGGTGTGTTTCTCCATCAGTCATCAGTACAGGTGTGTGTCTTCATCAGTCAACAGTACAGGTGTGTTTCTCCATCAGTCATCAGTACAGGTGTGTGTCTTCATCAGTCAACAGTACAGGTGTGTATCTCCATCAGTCATCAGTACAGGTGTGTATCTTCATCAGTCAACAGTACAGGTGTGTATCTCCATCAGTCAACAGTACAGGTATGTATCTCCATCAGTCATCAGTACAGGTGTGTATCTTCATCAGTCAACAGTACAGGTGTGTATTTCCATCAGTCAACAGTACAGGTATGTATCTCCATCAGTCATCAGTACAGGTGTGTATTTTCATCAGTTAACAGTCCAGGTGTATTCCCACCAGTCAACAGTACAGGTGTGTATTTCCATCAGTCAACAGTAAAGGTATGTATCTCCATCAGTCATCAGTACAGGTGTGTATTTTCATCAGTTAACAGTACAGGTGTATTCCCATCAGTCAACAGTACAGGTGTGTATCTTCATCAGTCAACAGTGCAGGTGTGTATCTCCATCAGTCATCAGTACAGGTGTGTATCTTCATCAGTCAACAGTACAGGTGTGTATTTCCATCAGTCAACAGTACAGGTATGTATCTCCATCAGTCATCAGTACAGGTGTGTATCTCCATCAGTCATCAGTACAGGTGTGTGTCTTCATCAGTCAACAGTACAGGTGTGTTTCTCCATCAGTCATCAGTACAGGTGTGTGTCTTCATCAGTCAACAGTACAGGTGTGTATCTCCATCAGTCATCAGTACAGGTGCGTATCTTCATCAGTCAACAGTACAGGTGTGTATTTCCATCAGTCAACAGTAAAGGTATGTATCTCCATCAGTCATCAGTACAGGTGTGTATTTTCATCAGTTAACAGTACAGGTGTATTCCCATCAGTCAACAGTACAGGTGTGTATCTTCATCAGTCAACAGTGCAGGTGTGTATCTCCATCAGTCATCAGTACAGGTGTGTATCTTCATCAGTCAACAGTACAGGTGTGTATTTCCATCAGTCAACAGTACAGGTATGTATCTCCATCAGTCATCAGTACAGGTGTGTATCTCCATCAGTCATCAGTACAGGTGTGTGTATTCATCAGTCAACAGTACAGGTGTGTATCTCCATCAGTCATCAGTACAGGTGCGTATCTTCATCAGTCAACAGTACAGGTGTGTATTTCCATCAGTCAACAGTAAAGGTATGTATCTCCATCAGTCATCAGTACAGGTGTGTATTTTCATCAGTTAACAGTACAGGTGTATTCCCATCAGTCAACAGTACAGGTGTGTATCTTCATCAGTCAACAGTGCAGGTGTGTATCTCCATCAGTCATCAGTACAGGTGTGTATCTTCATCAGTCAACAGTACAGGTGTATATTTCCATCAGTCAACAGTACAGGTATGTATCTCCATCAGTCATCAGTACAGGTGTGTATCTCCATCAGTCATCAGTACAGGTGTGTGTCTTCATCGGTCAACAGTACAGGTGTGTTTCTCCATCAGTCATCAGTACAGGTGTGTGTCTTCATCAGTCAACAGTACAGGTGTGTATCTCCATCAGTCATCAGTACAGGTGCGTATCTTCATCAGTCAACAGTACAGGTGTGTATTTCCATCAGTCAACAGTAAAGGTATGTATCTCCATCAGTCATCAGTACAGGTGCGTATTTTCATCAGTTAACAGTACAGGTGTGTATTCCCATCAGTCAACAGTGCAGGTGTGTATCTTCATCAGTCAACAGTACAAGTGTGTATCTCCATCAGTCATCAGTACAGGTGTGTATCTTCATCAGTCAACAGTACAGGTGTGTATTTCCATCAGTCAACAGTACAGGTGTGTATCTCCATCAGTCAACAGTACAGGTGTGTATATCCATCAGTCATCAGTTGAGAGATGGGGGACACCCTGGACAGGACCCTGCAACACAGGGCAAACAGATTTTCACACACTCACCTATTGGGACAATTCTGAGTTTCCAACTAATCGCAGGTCAATATTTGTGGGAGGAAGCTGGAGTTCTCACAGGAAGCCCATATGCTTGGGGAGGAATGTTAACTTCACTCAGAAAGGCCACAGCCAAGACACATCGACACTGACCTACAACCATCTCAATACAAGGTCACTGTGCCACCATGTAAATTCATGCAAACATCCCTCATAAACATTTGTGTTTATTTTTCTGGTCAGATCCATACATTTTAAACATTGTTAAACCGTAAAATGTTTCCAGTACATTTTATTGTGTTCACTCATTCTCAAAGTTTGTCCATTTTGACTACTTTTCAGGAGACATTCTCCCAAATTTGAAAAAGGAAACCGAGTCGTTTCTGCTAATTTGTCTAATGGAGCAGTTAACATCGGTAACTCCATGTTTTTCATTCTACTTTCAGCAGATCCTTGTTGAGCTTATTCCACAATATTACTCTGATTTCCCGAGAGGTGAAGCTGTTAATCCAGTGAATAATTAGTGTCAAGGGAGAGAATGAACAGCTGATCAAAATGCTGAATCAAAGGGACGATCAGAGCTTCAGCTGTCATGGAACATTTTTATGCTTCACTGATTAAATCAGAGTAATCAGTGTGTGTGTGTGTGTGTGTGTGTGTGTGTGTGTGTGTGTGTGTGTTTGTGTGTGTGATCACAAAACTTAAATTCTTCACAATGTTTTCAAATGTAAAAACAAAAACATTGTTTGATCCCATCAGATTATTTAATCCTGATGCGTTTTGACAAGAGTATGTCAGGGGGAATCTGAAGGAAAACACGGAAAGTGTCAACCTGTTGGATTAAACCGACTGTGAGCTTGGTCATCAATCATCTGTTCACGTGTGATTGATTTATACATGAGCAAATTGCTGTCCTGTTTACACCCCCCCCCCCCCACACACACACACACACCTCTCACATAAATGTTGGTCACAGGAGCTTCTGTAGCTGCCTGACCGAGGAGGATGCCATGTCAGAGGTTCTCACTGTAGATGCTGTTTTATTTGGGATTTTGGTCTTTTCTGGTATTCTGGGAAACATCTTGGTCATTTATGTGGTGAGTTTCTGTAGTTGTGGAGAGGTCAGTGTTAAGCCTCAGACTGACCCCATTCTACCTTGTTCCAGGTGTTTCTGTCTGCCTCTGAGAGTCCAGCTCGGAGACTCGCCCCGTCAGACACGCTTTTAGTGCACCTGTCTCTGGCCAACCTGCTGACCTCACTTTTCCGCACGGTGCCGATTTTTGTTTCGGACCTGGGCCTGGAAGTGTCTCTGTCTGCAGGCTTGTGCAGGCTCTTCATGCTACTGTGGGTGTGGTGGCGAGCTGTGGGCTGCTGGATGACCCTGATGCTCAGCATCCTCCACTGCACCACCCTGCGGCGACAGCACGTGACCTTTGGACCTCTTGTGCTGCAGAAGGAGAGGAGACAGGTGTGGGCAGTGGTGGGGCTGGTGTGGGGGGCAAACTTTTTCTTCTCTACCCCGGCGCTGGCTTACACGACCCACGTTCACAGCAACGCCACTGTGAAGCTGATGGTGATCAGCTGCACCACTCGGCCTCTTCTGGGCTGCATCTGGGAGTTCCCCTCCACCCAGCAAGGCTCAGCCTTCGCCTCCACCTCACTTGCTCTCAACGAGATTCTCCCACTGATGCTGATGATTTTCACTAACTTAGGCACACTTCACGCTCTGTCCAAACACATCCGAGCAGTGAGGTCAGGGACAGAGTTACACGGGGAGCTGAACAAACATGTGTCTGCTGAACGTAAAGCAGCTCATGTAATCATGTGTCTAGTGCTGCTCTTCGTGGTCTGCTGGACGCTGCAGGTTGCTGCTGTGACGTATTACAACTATGATAGGGGGCGCCATGCAGAAAGGCTGCTGACTGTGGCTCATTTTTCTGCCTCGCTCTTTGTAGGATTCAGTCCCTTGGTGGTGGCTCTGGGACACGGGAAACTCAGGCGGAAAATCAAGTGTATGTTTCTGGTTTGGGCGAACGTTCAATGTTACAAGAAAGAGACGAAAAATGGGAGCGACTCTCCAAAGTCGGAGGAAAAACCAAGTGTGTCTGTTGAACTCAAAAGAAATAAAGTGAAAAATAAAGTTCAATCAAACAAATGATGGAAAAGACTGCACCATGGAAACTTCTTTAGTTTCATTTACTATTTTATGAGCCAGATGTTGAGTCAGAGAGATACTATTTTGTACATGTTTTAACCCTCTGGAGGCAGGTGTTGCAGATTTGCAACGTAAAAACCTACCTACCTGGGGTCTCATTTATCAAACATTGTGTAGAATCCTTACTAAAACCGTACTTACGCTCAGCAAAAAAAAAAAAGTGCTTACGCCAAGTAGGTTTGTGATCTATCAAACATGGAGTACACACAGCTGCACGCAATCTCCGCTTCATAAATCGGAGACTAACGAGAATGTTTCTCAGCTGCATTTTAGTCACATCACGCCCTCACCACGCCCACTTACTGCCATAAATGGTCAATGCAAAGCGCCTTGTGGATCGCATGCATACACATTAGCCGGCTGTTGCAGCGCTCCACCAATGACATGGCGACCGTAGATCAAGGCAGATCAAGGAAGCGCAATTTCACAGAAGCAGAAGTTGAGGTACTTGTGGGTGAGGTGGAGAAATGAAAGGAAGTGCTTTTGCAAAACAAATAAGAGAAAATCTACGGAGTGGCACAGCTCTGCTGAAGCCGTCAATGTTGTGTTCTTCAGAGAGATCTGTGGCAGATATAAAAAAAATGGTCCAATCAGGATTCAATCCCCAGACTCCTGATTGAGTCGCGCGCACTAACCAGTCAGCCAAACAGAGATCTCCCCTGTTCAAGTAGGCAGGGCGCATGATCAATCGGGTCACAGTGACAGGACACACACTGTCACAGATGCATGACATTCTGTCTCAATCTGTCCCGCTGCTGATATTCTGCATTCCGTATTCTGCGCTTCAGGCTGTGCGTGTGTGAGTGCGCGCGCACATGTGTGTGTGTGTGTGCATGCTTTGGAGTTGTTGTACCACACCTAATTTATCATGTCACTGAAAATACTGCCCTCAAAACTGCTGCAATCGTTTTATGTGAGAGGGATTTAGTCCAAAGAACTACATAAAGAAGTTTTATCGACTACAAATTTATTATGACTTAAGAAAAAAGTCATGATAATCTGTAGATTATTGGACTATATGGATATGGATGTTTCAAGATTAAAGGTGATTGGGGGAGGGAATCAAAAACCGGTACTTGTTGAGTTCCTAGGAATTGTTTGCAAACATTAAAAACAATTCCCTTATTAAATCCAGTCAGCGTGAGTGATGTCACCATGCACGTTTGGTGGCTGGCGCATTTATTCAGCAGGAAACATGGCGCCAAAGCGAGCCAAACACTCAAAGGTTTGGTTAAACTTTGGGAGAAACAAAGCAACAGGGCAACTTGCAATATTTGCAAATAGATATTTCATCAAAGGGATGAAACACGGAAAAGCAAAAGCATTTGTGCACAAAATACGTGATAACTTAGGCCCTGTCCACACTTAGCCGGGGATCTGCCAAAACGTAGATATTTTTCTACGTTTTGGCCTGTCATCCACACGAAAACGGAGTTTTTTCACACGAAAACGGATCTTTTTAAAAACTCCGGCCAAAGTGAAGATCTGTGTTTTCTCCGTTTTGGGTGTCTGCGTGTGGACAGACAAAACCGGAGTTTTAAGGTCCGCAACGTCACTTTCCACGACAAAAAAATGCTGACATCACGTGTGCGACCTGTGTTTACACTAGCCGACAGCATGGAAGCCCTCAGAGCTGCGCTCGCTTTATCAATTGTCCAAGCGCTTTTTGCTTGTTTGTTTTTGCAAGCGGAATTACTGCTCCTTGCGGAACACCACAGACGAAGGACGAGGTTAAGAACGGGGGAAGTACTGACGCCTACAGGTCTGGCATGTCCTTAACAACGTATTTATCTGGGTACGTGTGGACAGAGTTTTTTTTTTTTAAACGAGGTGGTGTGGATGCAAGTTTTTGGAGGGGCGGATATTCATTTTAGAAAAACCCGGCTACATGTGGACTAGGCCTTAATGTGAATGTTGTGTTTTTGACCTACTCTGGATTAGTGAACTTTGATGCAGCAGCAGCGGTGACGTTCACACGTCCTCTCCTGTTACTACATCAGCTAACTAATCAACTAACACTGCCTATCATGTTAGCATCACTTGCCTTTGTCACGGCCACCTGCCTGGCCTCCAGCAACTCCAGGAGCCAGGACCATCCAGCACCACTGAGCGCCCCTCCTCCTCTCCAGGCTGCTGATGAGCCCAGCTGAGCTCAACCCCACTGATGAACAACACCTGGGAGAAAAGGCTGTGCCATCCAGCAGTCCAGGGGTGCTGCTGTTCTCTAGGCCTCACCGGCTGTTCTAACCCCGTTGTTTTGTAGCATGTTGATTCAAAAAGGGCAATTTTGTGGGCTGATCCTGGAGGATCTTTGGTATGATTGTCTGTTGGTCTCTGTTGAGGGTCTGCCCTTATGAGGAAATTACTATGCAGTGATTTTCTCCAAAAAGACTGTGCTTAAATTGCTCTGAAAAAGCAAATAATCACATCAGCGCCAAGAAACTTTATTTCCCATGATGCTTTGCATAGGGAAGCAAGGTGATGACGTCACCACAACAACCAGCTCAAAAACTATAAGTTTCAGCGAAAAACGAAACTTAACTGTTCCTTGTCCAGTATCACTGGCTGTAAAAGGACGCTCATTGCTGCTGCTCTGATCAACGTGAGCAGATCAAACACCGAACGCTGAAAAGCTGGGTTGGAAACCCAGCAAGCAAATCTACTTTTTCTGCATTCCTCCAGCTGAGGTGAAGGAAACAGTCGCTGACTGATAAACTCCAACTCCATCAGGACCTGACTGGGAACGAGCGGAGCCCATCCCGCTCTCAGAGACGCTGTAAGTTGTCAAACTCAGCACAAAGAAACCAGCTGATTCCGTGGAGAGACACTCGTGGGGAGGAACAACGGAGTAAATCATCTGACCAGGGACGCCTTGCTTTGCCCGGAACAGCTGTTTTGCTCCTGCAAGTTTTATCTCATTCTCTCTTTTTATCTTTCTCGTCTCTTATAGTTCATAATAAGCAGTCGACCGTGTGACTTGCTTCAAATTATCAGACGGTTTTCTCTATCTTCCGTAATCAAACACGTTATAGATATATACCGTGAAGTAAGATCTTTTGTTTATTGTTTATTTAATCTGGGTTTGTCGGTAAGCTGTGGCCAGGCTGCATCGACTCTGTTAGATTAAATAATTTACAAGTGACCTTTGTTGTTTAAGAGTCTAAACTTTTGAAGTGTTGAAGTTTAAGTTTTGCTGTGATTTTAAGCCACTAAGTGTTCGGGAAAGGAGAACTGGACAAGGGAGGGGAGAGCCACACACACTCACAGCTTACAGCACACAGCTCAAGGACACTCTCCCTGCACACCTGCGCTGGAAAACAAAGCATTCATTGATTTCACACACACACACACCACACACACCCACTCACACACACACTCATACGTGTTTTTATGGTTTGTCGGGGACTCACCACTGAAACAAATCCATCACGTGGGGACATCCTCCATTTTACACACATTTTCAATTATACCATTGTTTTGCATTATTAATCTCCTTGTTAATTAAATGTTATAAAATTCAGATTTGTCTCCAATAGATTTCTTGTGTCGATTTAAACTCTCTGCTCCTCTGGTCCACGATCTTCAAGAAAGACTGATAAGAGTTTTGGATTCATTTCCCTTTCTAATTAAAGGGATGGTGCCCCGTAGATACGTAAGAGTATCTTAATTAATTAATACATCGGTAAATATTCCCATATTTACAGAGTTTATTGAAGAATCCAAAAGTAATTAATTAATTACTAATTACTCGCTCCTAATTACCCCAACAGTCTCATTGGGGATAAATCCCCTTTTTGGTGCTGTTAACTTCTATGTTGACTGTTAATGATCTTAAATGACCTCTGGTTTTTGTTCGTGTTAAAGGTTAACTCTAGTTTTGACAATCTTATCAACTTTGTGCTTTTAAACACCTTCTGTTTTGCAAAACTCTCAACTCAGTTTTAACCAGGTGTTTTCATGTTAAGTTGTTTACTGTTTTCATTTATGGCTTTTAACTGACCTATAATTGCTGGAAACTATGGAATTGATACGTTTTTATCAATATCAATCCAATTCCCTATAAATTCCTGAGTAGTTAAAAGGTGGCAAAAATCATTTGCACATGATCTCCTGCAATTATGTCTAAAAAGTCCAAAGTGAATGCCAAAGCAGTTTAAAAAGAGCCACCATCTTTGTTGTTCCGCTTCATTGCATCATCTCACCCACCAAACCAAAAGAGCCCTGTGAATGGCCCACCAAACTGCGAGCACTGTAAATGGCACAACACAAAACTGATGGGGCCAATGGGAGACCTGCTGAGGCTACAATGGAGCGTGAATCCACCGACATGCAGAGCAAAATCATTTAGCTTCGGCTCCTGTCTGTCTAGATGTTAGGCTATGGAAATTAGCAAATTGCAGCTTTTATGTTGTAATCTGCGGAATCTCAGACAGGAATAACTGTAAACTGGTAAATTGATGCCAGTGTAAAAGTTAAATATACCGCTATGAAAGTTTGAGACTGTGTAGTTGTTTTAAGATGGTCTTGGTCCCATGCACTAACCCTTAGCTTATCAATCTGGTCAGAACTACAGTTTATTTCTCTAAACTGCAGTCAGTCACGGAAGGATCTGCATGATATTAAATGTTTCTAACCTTTTCACAGAAACCTCTTTAATCGTTTAAGATACTTTACATTAGAGCAAATTAATGGTTTTTAATCAGAAGTTTTTTTATAGACATAATCTGAGTTATTCATCTGAAACTAGTCTGTCTTGGTCAGATCACACTGCAAGTCTACTGAGTCAGTCCACTTACAAATACAGTATTCAATTAGATTTATTTTTTGGGCCAAAGGTCAAAGGAGCGCTGTCACCCACAAGGTGCATCAGTCGGTGAGCGTAGACTTGATGCACAAACGTAGCCGCCGGTGTCCCACTGCCAGGATAGCAGGAGACAAGACGATGAAGATGACGGTGGTAAAGCGAGCGATGACCAAGAGGAACTCGGCTGAGCTGCCTCGGTTGTAGTTAAAGTAGTTGACAGAGAGAATGCTGCCTCCCCAAGATATGATGAAGACGATCACAAGAGCAAGGATCACCTGAAAAAAATCAAAAAAAGTTATTTAAAGTGACAGTGAGTCTCTTTCCTGGCGAAAGGGGGCAGTAGATACCTGAACTGTTGCAAGCAAGCAGTATTTTAGTGTTGGAGTAAGACCATACCAACGGATGCCCATTAGGGTCAAAAAGCTCTGGGGAGTGCAAACTTTAGCAAAATAACAAGCACATCAGACTCCCTTTCATCACTGGCAATGAGTGAAGAGGTAAATGTGTAAAACAACATTTAAGAATGACAAAAGTTTTGTAACCTTTTCTTACAAATCAGTAAATGCATTTTGTCCTCATGGGCTCCCGTAGAAGGAAACATAGCATCTAATATGGCGTCGCCCAGAGACTTACGGTGTTTCTCAATGTCAAGGCGCCTGGCCTTGCGAGGCGATGTCTAGCAGGGCCAGGCGCCTTGCTTACGAGGACACTGTCCTTCCTTCATCAAAGAAAACGGTTAAATTGGAACAGACTTGCATCACGTGACCTCGGCTTCCATGGAGGTCACGTAACGTCACGTGACGCGGGAGATAACATTATATTTTATATGTATTAGTTTCAATATAAATATATAACAAGCCTTTTACTTTTTAAATTGTGTATATGTTTATTAAATTAAAAATATAAGTGAGTCACTACCCGCTAGCCACCAAAGCTGCAGCTACTAAGCAACTAACCAACCATAGATAACTTCATTGGATCTAAAAAAAAACATTTTTAATTAACTGACTTACTTTTAAACTTGAAATTTGTCCCCGAAGTAGCTGCTGGCTTCTGGTCCGCCTTCCTTTTGAAAATCCCGCGGTGTGTTCAGGGTAATTTTTGACCAAGGCTAGGCTACAAGACACCTCCATTGTATCCTTGCTCAGCTAGCTAAACAGCTAACAACCGGAGAACACACGCCTCGGTAGAACATGAACATTGGAACACGTCTTGGCGGCTCCTGATGATGTATCTCCGAGGGAACCGGGGCGGGGCCAAGACATCAAGGCAAGGTTCCTTGGCATTGAGAAACACCCTGAGACCCGCTCCCATGTATTTTAGAATAGATTTTTTTGGTTATATGTTATGAAACCGCCAACATTTTTTAACACTTGAGCATCATTTAATTCACTTTCAACAACATTTTGATGAATATTTCCAGAAATTAATGGTAAAAACTGCACATTGTCTCATTAAGAATAAAAAATAACCTTTTTTATTCATTCTTCTTAAAAACTTCCTGAGACCCAGCTGCCTCACACGAGCACATCAGCTTCTTCCACTATAACATTTCCTTCTCTTCAACCTGTTTTTTTTATTTTTGAGATCCTTAATTTTGATTTATGTTTTACATTCTTATTTGTAGTTATTTTAGGAAATTGTCAGCATTGTTTCACAACCACATTATTTGCGTGTTTACGAGCTCCAACTAAAGATGTAAAATATGTGCACCACAGCAGGGAGAACAGCTTGTGCAGAAATTTACTGCAGCAGCAACAGGTCAAAAATAAGAGCCTGGTTTCCATCTTTCTAAATGTTCTAAGCTCACAAAGAACCAGCATCTTAATCAATCTATAGTAGAATCTAAGCAGTCCTTTAGGCGACATTTGCACCAGAATAATCTGTTATGACGACACTTCAACCCAGCAACATATGAGCACAGATCACACAACAGGAAAACAAGCCACAATGGCCATTCTGACTGTTCAAATCCACGTTTAATGGAAAATATAGCTGAATAAATACAATCACAACAAATAAAAATGTAGACTAAAGGACGGCAGTTATGAATCTCATTTCAGAAAGCTTTTTGTCTCCTGGTTTTTCTCACCTTGGCTGCTCGCCTCTCTGCTGGAACCCGCTTCATAACAGGAGCGTCTTGGCCTGACCTCTGCAGCCTACTGTGGGTGTAGAGGGTGTGGAGGGAGGTCGTGTTGGTGACCACCATCAGGATTATAGGGAATATTTCATGTATGACCATCGATGTGGTGGCAAAGGCCAGACCAGTGTGGACGGTGGGGAAGTCCCACACACAGCCCAGCAGGGGGCGCGTTGTGCTGCTTACCAGCATCAGGGTCTGAGAAAAGAGGAGGATGAGAGAAATCTGCAAACTAGAGAGATAAAGCAGGAGAAAAATCCTACGTATTGCTGCAAAAATATATTTAATAGTTTGAGAAAAGGGCGATATCAGAAGATCAGAAATCAGGAGGCACCAAATGGTGTGTTTGGTTTACAGATGAGGAAATTCAGGATATAAAAGAGAAAAGAGTAATAATAAAATAGGAGAAAGGTAACACTCAGTCAGGTGTGAAATGTAATCGTAAGTCTCTAATCGCAGGTGAATGTTATTTTATCATTTTTTAAATAAAACTTTTCAGTAAGTTAGTTTTAAATTGGTATTTTATGGTTCACCTCGGTGGTGTTTTCATTCCCATTAGTAGAGAAAATGTAAGCAGGGATGGAGTAAATGAGGTTGAGGATCCAGATGATGCCCAGACTCAGAAGCAGGGACTTATGGGTGCTCCACCATCCCTGGAAGTTCCCCATAGAGGGCGATACCCGCTTCAGAGTGTGGAGATGGAAAGCACTGAGGAACAAGGTGGACCAGACGTTGACAGATCGCAGCCACACCCAGATCCCCATCAGGAACTGGCACCAGCCTTTGGAAGGGTACAGCTGGAAAAATTCAATTCAGTTTTATTTATTTAGCGCCAAATCATGACAAGAGTCTCCCAAGGGTCTTCACTCAGTAAACAATCTAATGTAGTTCACTTCATTAAGCCAATCAGTTGCATCGAGTCACTGACTAGTGTCAGTGGCTTAAACAGCAATCCTCATACTAATCAAGCACGTAGCGACAGTGGAGAGGAAAACTCCCTTTTAGCAGGAGGAAACATCCTGGATCAGCATAAGCAGCCATCCACCACAAACAGACACGACTCTTCACTAACCTAACGTTAGCTTCGGTTTGCTTCTAATTCAAGTTGCAAAAACACGTTCACGTTGAAGAGTTCCTACCTTGAAGCCCAGATCAGAGATAGCGAGCAGACTGTTTCTCGTCACAGACACCATCAAGTTAGACACTGCCAAGTTCATTATAATGATGTCCGAATTGTGTCCCGCTCCACGCTCCATCATCAAACTCCTCCCAATAACCCCAATCACCATCGCATTTCCCACGATTCCCAGAGTCCCCAGAATGATGTAAATGGCGCTGTACATTAAGGTCATGGGGTTACGAAGACCCATCCTCAGAAGTTTGCTGTTAGTGTCCTGTTCCGCTGACCCATTCATTGTGCTAGAATCCAGAATTTTCTATTCAGCTCCAACTGAGAACCAAACCAGCTCCATCTTAACTCTGAATGTCCGTTCATAGGAAAAAGATCAAACGTGTTAAAAAACAGCCAGCGTGTTGACCTCCTCTTCCTGAAGACATTTAAATGTCCTTCTTCACAGGGACCAATGAAGACAACAACTCTGGTGACACTATTGTAGGAGCTTCAGTGCCTCCTGATAAATGAACCTCTGTTTGAGCCACAGAACGCCACAAAGCATCACAATGTCTTCAGCCGTTGGGGCTCAAGTTGCTTGTTAATAAAACACAGGAGATTAATCAGCCTCGCTGTCTGAAATGTGCTCGCTATGCAGCTTTCCTCCATCTACCATCACCCCAAGGGAAGTGGTGTGTGTGTGTGTTCATTATGGCTGAAGTGTCCAAGAGTTTGTGTCTCGCTCAGATGTTCTAATATGAGGCAAATGTGATCAAATATTTTTTTTTATTATTCATTCCTTCACTTTAGACTAAAGAAATAATGTGTTTGTAAACACTTTATAACAACGTCTATAAATGCATTATTTAAACAGACATTAGTTATATTTGATTTGAGACTTGATTTGGAACAAAACAAAGTCATTTAAAAACTTGACATTTCTATTGAAAACATAAATTCAAGCACGCATGATTTTTTGCTTTGTGGAAGACCTAGTGGATGTTTCTTCCTTTCTCAGCGCAAAACTGTTTTCAGTAACTATAACTGTGTCTGGAAGAACGTGGAGCAGTAGAGCATAAAAACTCTGAAGCTGAGGAACAGAGAGAAGAGAGCCTTCTTGAGTGGACGCCATGGCAGACGTGGTTTTCTCTCTGTTGATCGTGATCAGGCACTGTTAGGGATTTTCATTTTCCCATCCAGGGTTACCTGAAGGGAAAGCTCACCACTCAGGGGTTTTATTATCAAGCTGATCAATTTAACCCATACTAATCGTATTAACAATAAACCATTTAGACCTTTAAAGTGGAGAGAGAGATAAAATGATACACACGAGTCGGTGGTCTCTTTGCTCTCGTTGGACCAAAGCCCTCTCAAGAGTATTTATGAAAAGACACACAGAAATGATTAAACACACACATTTAGGGAGACAAGCATGCGCTGGCACAGGGCATTCTTACTGATAAGCTAGGACTGGGAAGAGGCAAGGTCAAGCGCCTGTCTGTTGCCAGGGAAGAATAAGCTGGATGAGTTTTCGTTTAAAATAATGTATCCACAATTTATCCAACAGGCACTATCTGGCTCCAGCTTTGTCAGTAAAACAGAAGATATCTGGTAGTTTAACACCCCAGTGACAACACAAACACTTGAAATAGCTCCAAACTCCACCGTGTATCTCTGGACCTGTGCCGGCTGCTGGGGATCTCCACCAACCTGAATCTGACGACAGCCAGAATCAGATAGAGCAGGGGTGTCAAACTCAAACTCACACGGGGCCCAAATGAAACTCTGGGACGGAGTCGAGGGCCAAACGTAATATTTTTTGAAAAAGTGACAGAAAATTTCCACATTTTCTTTATCAACATATATGCAATTTTGAACCTTTACATTTGGAAACAAACTTATTTCTGCATTAACACTGAATGTGGAATAACCAAATTACACACAAGCAAGTCAGTTTTAAATAAAAGGCATCAGTGGTATTCATTACTTGTGGTATATTCAGCATTTTTAAAATCTATTCAGGATTTATGTTTTCTTGTTTATTCATTTTTCTTATTTTTTATTCTCTTTTTTTCTCCTGTAATACGTGTCATCGCTGCTGTGGTGTCTAGCTTTCCCCACTGAGGAACAATAAAGGATTTTCTATTCTATTCATCTATCTGCAGCTTTTCCACTTCCTGTTTACTTTAGGTTAAATCTTTTCTCACGGGCCAACAACAAAATAAAAATATAATTTTATCTTAAATGAAAATGCAATATCTCACCTGTTAACTTTCATGTTTTGGAGCAGAAAAAGAGCATAAAACCAACATATTTAAAGCTCAGTTTGTTCTACTGGTTTACTGTGATGCTCACCTGTTCCAGCCAGATACCTGCATCATGGGGTTGATCTGAGCTGAGGAGGAGACTCCTGTTGTTTTGTTCATCTTCATCATAATAATGACAACATTAGATGACAACAGGTGCTCACATAGGTTTGTGCTGCTGAACATGTCTGAGCAGCTTGACCACGTCGTTGTGAGTCTGGGAGGAAAGATAAAAACTACAGCAGCCACAGAGTCGTGCTAGTTTGAGCGTGTTGCTGCTCGCTGGAGTTATATCAGCTCTGTCTGGACGTTAGTTGGAAAACTTTCTTTCAGTCGTGAACACATTACTGAGCGGCTAGAATCTCCGTTTCTGGGCTTCAACGTCAGAAAATAGCTGAGTGAACTCGGCGCTGAGTGAGAGGAGTGTAGTTTGTCCGAGACAGCGGAGCTGCAGACACCGGCAGCAGATGCTGGAAAAAAAAACATAAGAGGGGGTGCTTTGGCTCCGCGCTAACGCCGCAAAGCATCATGGGAGTTGAAGTCTTTGCGGTAAAATCGGCCAGCGAGCCAGTTTTAATATATTTTTGATATTTATCTCGCGGGCCACATAAAAATGCTCCGCGGGCCGCATCTGGCCCGTGGGCCTTGTGTCTGACACGTGAGATAGAGGAACCTCTGCTGGAGATGAAACATCTGATGGACAACAGAAAGGCAAGACAATGGTGGACTAGATTTAAAAAGCTTCTAAGTGACATAAAAACGCGTACATTTTCCAGTGAGCGTGTTGCTCTCGTCAGAGGGAAGCTGTGTGTAGTCTCAGGCTGCAGACCGGTCAGCTAATCTTGGCTGGAGTCACTATGCAGGTAGATGCTGTCTGATCTCAATCTCGGTTTTGCTCAGTGATAACATTTGGTGGTTTCCATATGTCTTATAAAAACCAACGCAGAAACTCCCTGAGCCTTTAGGTCAGACACAGACTTCTCCAGGCTGAACCTCATCAGTCAGCCAGCAGCACCTTTGACACGCTAGCCCCCGTCTTCAACAGCACCTGCTCGGACATTTTTATCGCCTCCTCTGTGTTTATGTCTCCCTGCAGCTGGTGGACTCCTCAAAGGGCTTCCTGAAGACATCCCTGGTTCTTGTGGACGTCCCACAGAAAAGGGGAAAGCTGAAAAGCAAGAGCTAAAACAGGAGAATTCAGAGTCTGTTATGATTCCAGAAGAGTCCAGCTACAGGAGAATGTCTCTTTCACCACAGCTGGTCTCTGTGCAGATCAAGTGGCGGATTTAGCAATTTGGGGGCCCAAGGCGAACACAGACATGGGGCCCCTTACACTAAATTTTCGACAATCTTACCTTTAACTGGATTTGCGAAACTCTTCCCTCTTCTGACATGAGTTGTTTTCCCTTTTAATTAGTCCTCCTCTTTTTTCCTGTATTTCTCTCCCTTTGAGCGCTTTCAATATTTCCTTTCTTTTTCCTGTCAGTGCTCCTGTGCTTTTGCCTTTGTTTTTATTTTTTTTTCTATTTTCCATTTTGTTCCATGTTTTCCTCCCTTTAAACATTTTCCATTGTCTTTCCTTTCTGCTTCCTTTTGATGTTTGCATAAAAAAACGACGTCACTTTCAGAAGTGAAAATAAAAGCTTTTATGAAGCAAGCTGCTTCTTTCTCTTATTGGAGCCACTAGGATAACTCAATTTCATGCTTAATGTTTTGACTATCGCTTTGAATTTGTTACGAACGCTCCCGCCTCTCTTCTTATTTGTGGTCTTATGGCACTTGGCAAACAACAATTTGGTGCATTACTGCCACCTACTGGATTGGAGTGGAATGACTACCAATCACTTCCTGTTTGTGCATCACTGTCTTAACAACCCTCTTATGACCATAATTATAACAGGGCCACCTGGTATTTTTTTAATCTTATGGCTGTAAAATTTTAATAAAAAGTGCAAAGTGTGGGTAACTCTTCTCCTTTTTTCAGAACAACCTCAGCTTTCAGTGTATGGTTTGCATTTAGAATTTATTTCTATTAAAGACTTAAAACAATCAGCTTAAAAGTGAAAAAAGCAAAAAACGGATTTGAATTTCTTACATTTATATTTGAACAGGAACTTCAAAATTACTGGGCAAACAATTTAAACTTTGAACTGTAATGCATCTATTCTTAAAAAAGTTTGAACCTTGGTATCTTTTTTAGCAGTTTTTAAAACCATTTATTTTTGTAAACTTTTAGACGTTTTTATTTGATGTGGTAGACCTTGAAGCAGTTTCTCTCCAGCTGCAGGCAGAGTCCTGCACACCCCACACTGCCATGGGGTGCTGCTCTTGCACACCGTGCACTGCTATACCAAAACATTTGTTTTAGCAAAAATAATTATTTATTGTAAAAAGATAAATAATGCTGGAATGAAGTCAAAGTTTGCCAAAAATCCTTACGAACAAGAGTCTAAACACCAAAGTACCACTAAGCTAAACACACAAGTACACGAGGAGAAGAGAGAAGCCTGACCACCTTCCTGCCCACACTTCCCTGTACCTCCTCCCTGACTGAGGGCAGGAGAGCAGCTTTAAACTGCTGATCCTTGATTGCCCATTACACACAGCTGAGCGGGAGACAGAGGAGGCAAGAGCCACTGAGGCCATCTTGTGGCCGGAAAAGGGCAGAGCACGTAACACCACCCTCTTTTAAGAGAATAAATGGGGGGTCTTAAAAAGGGCCAACATTTATTCCAAAAATCGAGGTCTCCCGCTATCTATGTCCAAGTGTTTCTAGCTAGCTCACCCTAGTCTTCATGGGCACGTGAAGGGGGGCTGATTAAACACAAATTATCAGCAGGGCCGCTCCCCGGCCCCGCTGAGTGTTCCCGAGATGCCTGCCGAAGCAGACACTACCCTTCATTGTCCCCAACACTACAAAAACAAACAAAAAAAAGGGTCCACACCCAAAGGAGTGTGGATCTTATGCCTACAAGGGAGCCTCAGGTGTTGTCGGAGCCCTTCTTTTTTTTTTTCTAAAGGTATATTTTATTAAAATTTCAGTTTACTGTACACCTTTTACACAGTTTTATGTTGTATATTGAAAGCACACTCTGTATAAAATCATCCTGGAACAACAGAACAATAGAACAATTTAACAATTTTGGTTGTGCTTCGGCTTCTGGCGATCCTTTCCAACGTAAGAGCATATATATAGTATTGAAGGCAATATACACATAGACATATTTAACAAAACTTTGAGCAAGAAGTCCCCGAATTACACCATGCTTTTGCTTCTCCCATTCCTGTCGTAATCCTGGTCAGAAGACCGAGTATTTTCCTATACTCTCCCACTTTATAGGTCCTCAGATTTTTATGTCCATCTTCTTAATATATGTTAGAAATGGTGTCCATGTTTCGTCAAATAAGTGTTGCTTGGCTTTTAAGATATAGGTAATCCGTTCCAGCGGCATTACCTGTAACATCTGTTTCA